CCTTGGTCTCCCTCTGCAGCTTCAGAACTTTCTAAGAGGAAGACTCAAGAGTGAAAAGCAGTGGATACAATATCAGGGCAGAAACTGACCTCCGGGCAGGCTCCCTCCCATCCCACATTTCTTGGGAATCCAAGACTCCTCTGCTGTTGTGCAAGTGAAGGGAGCCTTGCTTGATGCTGTCACCGCCTCTCACCTGGATTTTTGAAAACCTGGAGAAGGCAGCAGCAGCACTCAAGTGCATAACAGTGCACTGCGGGGTGAGGCCAAGGTCATCTGGGACAGCAGAGTCTCACAGTCTTCCCACACTTTGCCCCTGCCTGCTTCAGGGACTGCTTCTCCACCACTGCCCCTCAGCCCCCAGCATGGCTGCACAGCAGGAGAGAGACGGGTCACAGGACTCCCTGGGCCCAGGGTCCCTCCTGGCATCTGCTGCAGTGGCCATCTCTGGCAGGAAGCACAGCTCACCAGGCCCCTCCTCAGGGAATCTTCTGGCTTCCTCACACTCCCTGCCCCTAGCCTCATTCACCTGGCCAACCCCTGCTCTGTCCTTTTTGTAGGCTCAGTAAGAGCTGAGCTGTTCCCTAGGCCATCAAATCCATGCACCCCTGCTCTCTGCTGAGCTACAAGCTGAGAAGGACATGGCCGGAACCATGAGAAGCCCAGGCCCTGCCTCTCCTGCTCCTGCAGCTGTGCAGCCCCCTTCCCATTGACACTGAAGCCCACACGAGGCCCCTCTGAACGGGGAGGACAGAGGCCCTTCCCATCCCCAGGTCTCAGCCCAGCTGCAGAAGGTGCTGGTTCTGTCTCCCACCCCACTCCCAGTTCCACCAGAACGAAATCCTATTGCCCCAGGTGTGTGGATCCTCCATCGTGTCCACTCAGAGACTCCCTCCCCCTACTCAGCCTAGTTCCTCTCTGTCCCCTGGTCTGTCAATCCCTGCATCTGCAGCTGGTTCCAGCCCCTTGGCCAGCACAGCTACAGCTTGGCTCTCCAGGCAGAGACTGACGTTGAGGTCACCCCCATGGACACAACTCCCCTCCCCAGCCTCTCCTTGTGGGGCCTCCTCCTGGCTGCGTGACGCTAACAGCTTCCTACACACAGGTTTTAAAGCTCCATTCGAACTTTGAAATTTCACATCAGGAATAGAAGTTCAGACCCTTCCGTAGTTCATAAGCATGGCGAGTGGATTTTCACAGGCGCGTGGGACGCGTGCCTTCCCAGAACCTTGTTACACATCAGCACACTAACATCTAAGCATAAACACTGGAATGAACTTTTTACTCTCAAATGTTTACTTTCTGTGTTCACACTATCAGCTACACATGATGGGGCAAGTCCCTTTTGTCCTGTAACTTGTTTTTACAAACAGAATATAATCACGTGGAAGGAGTGATTCTGTTTATGAAACAAAACAGGTGCCCCCAAATCACGCCCTTGTACATGAAAAATACACGTTTGGATAAGAGCCACGGGAACCCAGAGTGAGGCAGTCGCACATTTGAAAATTCCATCATGACCTCTGCCCACGGCCATGCACTGATTAGCGTCTTCCCTTCCATTTCAGCTGTCACCCTGAGAATGGAAGAGTCCGCCTCAGCAGTTGGCAATTTGAGAGACTTTCACATAGAGTCCTCCGAGATGGGAAATCTGAAATGCTGTGGACAGACAAGTTCCTCTAAGAGGAGAGGGACTCTCCCCCGCCCCTATGGGCCTAGGGAGGCATGAGGAGTTTGTAGAAACTGAGTCTTGGTGAGGAAGGATGTGAGCAGGAATGTGCCCACTCTGTGCAGGTGCAGCCACTGCCCCTTCCTATCAGGCCTGAGTTCACCCTGATCACATTGCTATGGAAAGTATGGTCAGTGAGACAGTGGGGGTCACTCTCTCCACTCATTCATCTGCTGAAGCACCTGCAAGACGCCCCCATCCCCAGTTCATTCCCACTCATGCTCATCCGGGCTGTGTCAGTGGAAGGGAAGTTCATTCCTGGCCTAGCCAACCTGTGGCTGTTGGTTTAAATATCCTGCGTCCTGAGCCAGCTTAGGAGCCAGGCTGCCCATGGGCACTTGGAGTAGTCAACTGGCCAGGAAGGTTCAGCACGAGGCCGCCCACAGTGTGAAGATGCTGGGGGAGGAGCTCACACCATTGAACTTGACCTTCACTGAGGCTGGGTTGGGAGGAAACTGTCATGTGTTGGGTCAGGGATGAAAATCTAGCGGAGGGAGGCTGTGTTACGATTTGAGGCTATCTGGGATCAGCCACATCTTCCAAGATGTTACAGGTTTGAGCCACATACAAGCTATCCAGAGAAGTGCCAAAAGACGGAAAGGATCACCCCACGTAAAGAATGAAGTGAGTCTCTATCTTTCACTTCCCTGAAACCATGCAAGCTCCCTGTCTGCGTTCAACCTCTACCAAGAGTCTGGCTTGTTCTGTGTGACATTTAACGAATGAATACTTTAGCGTGCTGAGAAGGAATTAGTCTACATAAGGCTTTACCTGAATACAATCATTTTGAGCCTTAAAGCATAGCAAAGACCCCATTAATGTTTGACCCTCTCAGAACTGGGCACACCAAGGCATAGAGAG